ATATATTAAAAAAAAAAACTAGAAACTTCGTACTGTACTGTTACATTCAATATTTTCAGTGCATTTAAAAACTAGCACAAAAATTAGTTTGCGTTAGACTTCTATTACATTCTACTGAATGTCTGCAGCACAGATAATTTATCTTTCATGACACCTTTTAATTGAAAAACAAATTATCTACAAATCAATAAACATAAGGCAGAAATCCATTCTCGTGAAGTTTCTAGGTTCATTGTATAAGATATGTATTGGTGGCAGAGGATAGTTTCGAATAAAGTACCGTCAAAAAATAGAAAAAATAGAGAAACCTGAGGTTTGAATGCATATGATAGGTAATTTTACAGCTAGAATATTTTATGGGTGCATTTGGAGGGAATTGGTGGCTATGTATATTTTATTGAAATATGACACTTTAGCGTCAGTACTACTGTATATGGGATATGGACTAGAAATGCGAAACTAAGCTCAAAACTCGCTCTACCGGTATTTCACCAGAAAAGCGGGGTGGGTTCACAGGATGAATTGTAGCTTGAAAACGAGGTGGTTGAGCCATTATCTCTTGCTGTTCATTGGTATGTACAAATGTTATTCTGCAATTTGTGTGGTAGCTTAGGTCAGGCGCACGGGCCTGGAAGCAGATGCGGCTGCGGCGAAATAGTGAAAATAGGCTTGATTCACATGAAATTTTGAGATTGTCCCTGCGCCATCTTTAGGGCTCATTGTGTAAGTTGTACATGTTTTATTCCTAAAAGCTTCAAATTTCTCAAGGGACTACATCATACTATTATTACATGTAGAGGGAATTTAAAATTTTTCAATGCACATTTTTAAAGCAGCTCAATAGTAAGTAAACCGTCAGTCAAACGTTTTGATTGCAAAAAAAACTATCCTCTGCCACCTTCAAGAAAGCATCAATTTTTAGAAATGTGAATTTTAGTCTGATTTTTATACAAAAGTGTTTATTTATGTAAGTCAATTTAAAAAAATACTTTGTTTCTGTTATTTAAAATCTGTACAGTTAGGTATATTCACTAAAAAGCAAGGGGGGTTACTCTTTTCCAGCATACATTTGTAAAGACTTTGAACCATCAGCATAATAAATCATATAGGATTCAGGCATTTTTTGCCAGAGAATAAATTAATTGCTTGAATTTGATACTTTAAGAATATGTACCATTTGTGATTTTAAAACTGTTGGTGATGAATATCATTATATTATGGAATGTAAGTACTTTTCAAAAGACAGAAAAATATTTTTCCCAAACAGATATTGTAATAATCCTAACACTTTCAAATTCAATGAACTAATGAGTAGTAATAATGTAGAGATACAAAAATCATTATCACTATTTATAAAGAAAATTTTTAAAACTGTCTGTCCTTCTTGATTCCTCTGTGTGTCTTATATATAGATGACTACAGTCATTTTTTTTCCTCACTCTTTTTCGAGTTTCTTTATATTCAATGTACTTGTCTATCTCTTGACCCTTGACTGTAATAATTTTTTGCTTGTATATATGTATATATGTACCTCTTGTACCAGTGATCTGGTTTTGAGCGAATAAAGAATTGAATTGGGTATTGTCGCATAATTAAAATCATGTCTTGCTTTAATTAATTAAATCTAATTAAAATTTAAGTGTATTAATTAGTGCGATATCACTTAAATTGCATATATTTGCCATTTTTTCAACCTAATTTACTAAATATAATTATTTTGAAAATAAAAATCAGTCAGCATACCTAAATGTCACTAAATCTAACCATATATAGTACAAAAAAACTTTTTTTTTGCTTTATTTTTCCAAATTTAACCTATTCTGTTATTGATATTTTCATGAAATATGCCCCCCCCCCTTTTCAATTTTTAAATTTATCTATATTTAAATGTGACAGAATCTAAATTTTTCAATGGTTTGCTATAAAATGACTATTTTTCTTTGAATAATAACAAAACAAAGAGTTTATATTGCATATTTAATGAAGTGATATCAATAAAATGTGCATTCTCATGTATAATTATTTAATTCTGCTAGGCCCATATAATCTGTCCACAATTGCCCAGGATGGACAGAATAATCACTTTTAGTATTCAGGAGAATGAAATGTATGTATCTGATTACTCATAACTGTTAAAAGTGAATATCAGACACTTAGAAAGAATTCAGCTAGGACAAACACATTTTTACAGTGCATTTTCATTACACTGAAGAAATGGCTGCAGGGGTAGGGTGTTGAACAGCCATTTCCTGGACACTTTTTCTTTAGCATATGATGCAAGAGGGTTTTTTGCATATCATGATAAATATCTTGAAAGTTGAAAGGGGTTTTAACTTTGCAAAGAAGTTATAGGTATATAAAACCAAGTCAAAAAGAGATAAATGGAATTTCATTGAACATGAAAAATAGGGGAGTATGTGATACAACCCCTGCGAAATGATATTCATGATTTTAAGAACCTTTATGAGTTGTTCATAATTGTTCGTGAATGGTTCTTAAAGGATTCTTAACAGGTTCATAAAAGTAGTTCATGAATAAAATTCATGAAAACATTCATAATTCATAGTTCATGAACAAATGATGAACAAATATGAATATTGGTAATTTTCAGTTTAAAGAAAAAAACTTTGTAGTTCAAGGTAATGAATGTTCATGAATTTTCATGAAGACTAAAAATGTAAAAATAATTGTCACAAACGATCGCCAGAAAACACTCATTACTCCCATAATACAACTTTTGCATGCAGATGCAATTGTTGAAGAAGCCCCTGATTTAATTAATAACATGCTTTTGTTTTGATTTTGAAAGTATGGGATCAGAGCCGAGTAGGGGAACATAAGAGGTTAAAATCACTATTTTCTAGTCTATGTAATTGATAACTTAGATTCTTCAGGATAATAAAACTCTGTTATGAACTGTCTAGAAGGGAGATTATAATTAAATTATGATCGTAATTTAAAGAACACTGCATCAATATTGACAGCATTTTATTCTCATATTGAATTACTAATGTTTCTTCATCATTTAAATTGGCCAGCTATATTAATATTGTGCTTTAAATTTTCTCATTTTTCACGACACAACTTTGTTCGACCGAATTTTCTCTATTTGGCAAACTTTTAACAAGTTGTAAGAAAATGAAACAGACTTACAGTCTAGGAAAAATTTCAGAATCTTCGTAGAAACGTATCATAAATTTATTGACAACTAAAAAAATTATATCTCTTGTCCGTACTGTACCGTACCATTCTTGGGTCGGAAAGCTTTATATTTTGATGCTGTTATAAAGTCACATTTTCCTGTCCATCGTGTGTAAATGATACAGCACAGGCTGCATGGTTGTGAAGAAGCTATGACATGAACCACATTCGTATTTTGTAGTCTATTCTCCTATACAATTTCATAGCTCAGGGTACTCAGTGTGAGGGAGAGTGGTTCCAAGAGATATTTGTTGTCCTCTGATATGGAGGCGGCCATACTTGAATACGAAACTATGGCTCTACAGGTATAATGTAAAAAAAAATCCAATTCAATAAATATATAACTTATATTAATTTAAAAAAAATTAATTTCAGTGAAAAATCATTCAGATAGTGTTTGTTATTTTTTGTTTAACAAAAATCTTGGCAATTCGAAACTATTTCTTAATTAGCTCTGCATGACACTTTTAAAAAGGCGCAAACTTTGAAACGTGCGAGACGTTGGAAAGTGAATCGGTAGAGTGGGAGGATTATTAGCGTAGTAATTCTTTGTCAACCTTTGAAGAAAATAACATAATACAAAGAAGGAATATCCAGAGGATCAATTTACTTCATAACTGCAGATATTAGTGGTGAGTTACAAAAAAATGGAGGCAATCGCTGAATCTGTGAGATATTTGTCAAGATGTTACTGTCTATTTGTAAGAGTTCAGTTATGTCCTTTTAAATGAAAATTTTGTCAAACTTTGTTATGAGTAAGGATCCAACCAAATTACGTTACATTTAATAATTAAAGATTGAAACATCCATCCTGTTCACCTATAACATCTTGAACATGGCGGGCAAGGGAAAAAGGCTAAACTCCCGCTCGGAATGCTTTAAAATATGGCAGTGCCTATGATGCAGAATTAAATGAAACAAATATGCAAGTCTTAAGTTTTCACATTTATGAGCATTTTCAGAAAATCTTTGTTCTTGTAGGGAAAAGAGAAGCAGTTCACAGATAATGTTGATGACTTGAGATCAGAAGATTAAAAAACTCTGGCTGCCAAAAAAAAAAGAATATAAAAAATCCAGGCTCTTGAAGAAAAACAAAAGAAAGGAATGAAAATATGAATCGTAATCGATCAAAGGATCCAATTGGTGAAATTCTGAAAATTCCACAGGGAAAGCCAATAAGATTTTTTATTTTGACCACCTCTGCTCAAAATCCTTGAAAGCCCTTTTAGCTGATGCCCTAATTGCTGAACACACTTTTCTGCCAGACAGTGAGACTTGGATTAAAAATCATTCCATTTTAGGCATACACTTTGAAATATGATGAATAAGGAACCCACTCTCCTCTTGACCAAGTAAGGTTAAGGATTCTGCAAAGAGTCGCGTTTGAATTGAAATTTTTCATAATTTATTAGGAATGAACTACATAATTTATTTATTATCGTTATCACTTATCAGAGTTGTTTACTTGAACAAAGATTTTGTTACCATGATTGGAAAACAAAAATTCTGTGAAATCTTTCAAGATGCTATTAATATCAATTCTCTATAAAAATCAAAATGACGTGGCCACGCAATGTCTTAGATTCAGCTGATTTTTTTCTCACTGAAACTTCAATGAATGAAAAGATTGACTATATGAAACAAAGCATGGTAGTTTACCCGGTTGCCATGGAAACGGGGCTAAAATGTGTAAATTATAGTGAATATTGCTATTTATCAATAATATCAAAAAAGAGGATTTTAACTGTTTCCTTCAAAATGTCTACTGTTCCCTTCAAGATGTCTTTGAAATAGATCGAGAGATACATGTAGTGGTGTGGTAGTCCTCGACCAATCCCCATTGCAATGTGTAAGTATTTTTTATTTATAATTCTATTCTGTTGCCTCAGGTACCTGGTAACTGACTATATACTGAAATATAAGACAATAAAAACAAACAAAACCATGAAAACTTGGATGCACAGTTGCATATATTACATGTACATGACTTTGAATCATATACTACGGTGAAATATACATGTATGTGCCCGTTTTGGGTACCGGTATTTTATTTTCTATAAAATTCAGTATATTTGAAGAAAATTGTTTGTATAAATTTATTTTTCTAAGTGATAATATGTTTGTGTCCATTCTATTTTAACATTATAAACAGGATTTGTAGAAATCATACCACGGAAATATTAAACCTTTGACTTTTGACAATGATAACTGAATAGTGGGTTAGATTTTTTGAAATTTTAAGCAATATCAGGACCATAGAATATTTGAAAGATTTGATAAGAAAAAGTGTAAGTGTAAAATTATAAAAATCAACCCAGTACGTGCAGACACACAGATATACAGCTGCTAATAGTGTTCTAGATCTAAGTACATATACTTTGTCATACTATGTGAAATCTTTTTTGGGACCTTGATACAATTAAGTTATTTGCTCTGCAAGGTAATGTATTGTTAAGTAGGTAAAGAAATCTATTCAAGGGTGTTAGAATGTGACAACTCCATTTCATTTGTACTTGGAGTTCCTATAAATTAGTTAATTGTCATGAAGCACTCTTTATTGACTTTTCTAAGATGCAGCTTTCTGTCATAATTTTATTTTACTGAGCACTGTTTTTCAGCTATATATTGCAGGCATATCAATCTTGCACACATTTATTTATGAATAGTTTTAGTTTAACAGTATTGATCTGTACAGATGAGATCATTCTGATGCTGTGTACTTTACATGTCAAGGACATATTGTACAAATTAAAAATAGTCGCATTAAAAGAACAAAATAAATTATACCACATTACATGTAGTATCCATAAAACATGTATGTTTATATTACAATTAATTCATGATATAATAACATTTCATTTACCACTTTAAAAATTAATTGTTGTCAAATTCATTTGTACTCTGGATCTCCGGCAATTTGTCTAAACCGCAGAAAAGCTTTAACTGTGTAAATTGAAAAAAAATGCTTGATGACAACATTGAATCCCCTCCTTTAACAATCATTGCTCATGATTCAGAAAATTTTCAGGATAACATTTAAATATCAGGTACATGTAATTTATATTTGATGTTTAGGATTTTAACCCAAACTTTCAAATTAAAAAATAATTTAAATTTTCAGATCATTGCAGCCCTTGCAAGATTTTCCTAATGAAGATTCTCAGGATTACAGATCCTCTAGCAAGGAGACCAGACAGGTACATGTATTGTGTATTAAGTTAATGGAGACATGGTGACTTAAGACATGATTGCCATGACAATGCATAAAGGGAGATAATAATGTTTAGAGGTTGAAAATGTATATGTTTTATGTATAGCAAAATTTTAAGATTCCAGTTTTAGTTTTTAAAATAATTTTTAATGAATTTTTATCCAAACTGACCAAAAATTAATGGTTTTTTTTTTATTTTCATGTGAACAGATAGAAATGACCAGAGCAGAGGACACACAGCTCCCCCCCCCCCAAAAAAAAAAAAATTCACAGTGGACAGGAAGTAATTGAAAAATAGAAAGTAAGAAAAAGAACAAGAAAGAAAAGAAGATCCAGTAAAAGTTGTCACTGATGCAAGATGGATATAGAGAGGGTTTTTTAAAGATCATTACTCAAAATCCACAGCAAATTGCAAGGCTGAGCTACTTTTCAAACTTACACAAAAGGACATAAAGAAATGTGAATTCGAGGAAACCAAGCTGACATCAAATGAGAGAATATGAGGCAACAAATTTTAACAGAATTCTTTTTAAGCAGAGCATCTGTTTTCCTTAGAGAATATGTGTATTCTAAATTGATTCTAAATTGATTTCTTGTATTTTCAAAAATGTCACTGTTTAAGTGGAGCATGCATTCCAATGTCATGTTTATTTCTTTTCTATAAAGGCAGTATTATGAAAAGAAGCAGTTTCTTCCCTTTTTTATCCCCACTCTGCAGGAGAGGTGGTATACTGATTTATTATATATCCCCACATGGGCTCACAAATCTATAGTTTTATACTGGCAGGCTTCACACACGATGTCATGTATGATTAGAATATGAATACATTTTAACAAAACTGAGAAACAAGATTAATTGTGAAACACTGACTCCCCCATACATGGCAGCTTATGCCACGACTCCCACGTGCTATCCCAAGAAAGATCTTGTCACAAGGAAAACACCTCTGAAATATGAACATCTAGTCCAACGTCAAAAGTTGTGGTTAAGGTTAAAGTTTTTTTAAAGTCGGTCAAGGTCTAAGGTCAAGGTCAAATGGTTAAAAATATACCCATTAAAAGAACATAATAGTATAACTGATCATCTGAATATGCTGATAAGCAATGTGATAATAAGAATTAATTCCACAATATTTAGCATGTAAGGGCATTTTAAAAGAATTTGTTTGCCTTCCCCTAATAGACTAAAATTCAAAACTTTTTTTTACATTGCAAGACAGGATGGTTTTTTTCCTTTTTATCCATCTTATCTCATCAACAAATATTTTGAAATTTTCTGGGAAAAAGATTTTTCAACCTACCTACCGACTTAATAATTTTACCCTGAGTTGGGAGAGGGCAAACAAACATTATAATCAAGACGGTCTTGCCAACTTGTTTTGACATTATATTGTCTGACTTACTTTCATATTTTCATTAGATACTTTTAAATTAATATCATTTATTAAATATGAGTTTGCTTTTTACTTGAATTATACATTTAAAAAAAAATAAACAAATGTTTTGAATTTGAACATATTTTAGTGAATCAAAGGGATTGGAAACAATTACAGGCCATCAAAAGATTTGTGAGAATTGTTAGAAACTCACTTGTTTTATTTCATATTTAGAATAAAGTAACTAGAAGCCTAATTTTTCTTTCCATGGCAACATGTTAATTTACCTGTCTCTGAGTTAATTGCAGAAGTTCTATTTAATTATCAAAAAGAAATTTAAATACTTGACGTATATTCATATAACATAACAATTTGTTCAATTTGGTAAACATGTTCTTAGATGATCTTCTCTGTTATTTGTGATTAATGGGGGGGGGGTGTCATACAATAATTTCTAGAAAGCTGTACATTTACCCATGAATTTTTTTTTATTCTCATAAAACCTTAGAATATATAGTTTATTTAATGATACATGGTTACAAATATATCAGTTGTCAAAATGGTGAAAAATTTCATTGAATATGACTAAAAAAGTCAATTTTGGCAAATTGCCAATTTTCATGCAATAATTTCTAAAAGTTTTTGATTTACCCGTAATTTTTTTTTATTCTCATAAAACCTTAGAATATATAGTTTATTTAATGATACATGGTTACAAATATATCAGTTGTCAAAATGGTGAAAAAATAAATTGAATATGACTTAAAATATTCAATTTTGGCAAATTGCCAATTTTCATGCAATAATTTCTAGAAAGTTTATGATTTACCCATAATTTTTTTTTATTCTCATAAAACCTTAGAATATATAGTTTATTTAATGATACATGGTTACAAATATATCAGTTGTCAAAATGGTGAAAAATTTCATTGAATATGACTAAAAGAGTCAATTTTGGCAAATTGCCAATTTTCATGCAATAATTTCTAGAAAGTTTTTGATTTACCCATAAATTTTTTTTATTCTCATAAAACCTTAGAATATATAGTTTATTTAATGATACATGGTTACAAATATATCAGTTGTCAAAATGGTGAAAAATTTCATTGAATATGACCAAAAAAGCCAAATTTGGCAAATTGCCAACTTGCTATCAGCCTAAATGCTGCGAAGAAAATTCGCTTAGTATCCATTCAAATATCTTGAATGAAATTTATTTCTGAGATTTAAGTAATATGGGCTCAGAGAATATAATTTTCATGTGAATTTACACTAATTTATTGAATGTGCACTAATTTAATTTAAAACAGAGCAAAATTTGCTTAATCGGAGGATTCTAAATATAAACATCTTTGTTACCATGGCAACCAAATTGAAAAGTTAGACTTTAACATCATATTTATTAAAGATATGCCAAATGTAGTAAATGGTGTGGTTCAGCTAAATCGGAGACATGTCATGTCCACGACCCTATCTAAAATTTTGATTTTTATAGGGGGAAAGGGTATTAAAAAATTTTTTTTTACAAAAATTTTTTTATTTTGCATAACTTATTACATTTTTTTTTATAAAAGCAAGAACATTTTTTATGAAAAAGTTCATGAACATTCCTAAATAACTTTTTCAAAAATTTAAGAATAGTTCATAAAATCATTGAAACCCATTAATATCATTCATGAACTTTTCTTAAAGTTCATGAATATAATTCATGAATTTTTCTTGAAAGTTCAAGAATTATTCTTATCATTTTGCAGGCATTTAAAAAATCCAAGTTTGTTCATGAACAACAAATAATTCTTGAAATTCTTAAACTTGGTTTTCATGAAAAAAACCCATGAAATCATAGTGTCCAATTTTAACTTCATGGGATCTTCATGAACAATTCATGAGCTGATTAAGAATATAATTCATGAACTTTTCGAAAAAGTTAAGAATTATTTTTATATTTCGCAGGGGATGTGATACATTTCACCAAGATGTGCCCTTTATATTTGACTTTTTACATAGAAATGTATTTAAATAGATTAAAATTACCATTTAACACTTTTTTGCTGGTATATTTATCATCTTGAGTTGTAAGAATTGCATTTGTTTTATGTGTAAGAAACAATATGGGGTTAAGGTGGTTGACCGAAAATTGGTGAGGTTTTATTTGGCCATAACTTTTTTATTTTTCAATGAATCAAGACATATTTGGTATATTTTTACTCAAATTGCATGTTCTTTTTAAATTTAGCAAGGTTTATTACTTGCAAGACAAACTTTGAAAGTTAAAGGTGGCAAGGAAGTTTCAAATAAAGTACCGGTCAAAAAATAGAAAAAAATAGAGAAACCTGAGGTTTGAATGCATATTATAGGTAATTTTATTGCTAGAATATTTTATGGGTGCATTTGGAGGGAATTGGTGGCCTTGTATATTTTATTGAAATATGACACTTTAGTGTCACTACTACTGTATATGGGATATGGACTAAAATACGAAATAAGCTCAAAACTCGCTCTACCGGTTTTTCCCCAGAAAAGGGGGTGGGTTCACAGGATGAATTGTAGCTTAAAAACGAGGTGGTTGAGCCATTATGTCTTGCTGTTCATTGGATGTAAAATGTTATTCTGCAATTTGTGTGGTAGCTTAGGTCAGGCGCACGGGCTTGGAAGCAGATGCAGCTGGGGCGAAATAGTGAAAATAGGCTTGATTCAATAAAATTGAATTGTCCCTGCGCCATCTTTAGGGCTTATTGTGTAAGTTGTACATGTTTTATTCCTAAAAGCTTCAAATTTCTCAAGGGACTACATCATACTATTATTACATGTAGAGGGAATTTAAAATTTTTCAATGCACATTTTTAAAGCAGCTCAATAGTAAGTAAACCGTCAGTCAAACGTTTTGATTGCAAAAAAAAAATATCCTCTGCCACCATTACTACATGGTTCTTGGATATTTAAATCTGAATTGTTTCGTGTCAGTGATTCCTGCCGACTGCCCATTGTCCCCCTTTTTTTGGGAAAATCTAACTGCAAATCTTCCAGTTTCATAAATAGAATGTAATCTGTGTAGACTTGTTTATGTTGGTGAAACCAAGGGATCACTTAATTAATTTAAAAAATATAGGTATCATTTCCAATAAAGCATGGTGGACAGCTTTTATACAAACATTTTAATTCACCTGATCATTTTATTTTGTCAATGAAAGTTACAATTCGAAAAATTTATCACCACAAAAATATTCCGTCGTGAGACACCTTTCTGTAGACAACGAGGGAATTTTATTTGAAAACTAGGGATGTAATGACAATGTCAAGTGTTGGAAATTTTCCAGTCCCCAGTGTAACAAAGTAAATGGATGGGAATTTTTAAACCCTACACAGAATGTTAGCGTGGTCATGGGATCGCCTTAAAAAAACCTGCAATCACGCTATCTCTTTTGAATCATTACTACCTTATGTATATCAACAGTTAGTTCTACATGATATTCGCAACAAACTTTATTCTGTCCCTTTGAAAGTTTTAATTAGTCTTCTTGAAAAAGCCAAGGAAAGTCCAACTTTTTATTCCTCGACACCAGAATACTGGCTCGGATCTGTGATTATTGATACTCAGTATTGCAATCATAAGCTTTTTAAACCCGCACGTTTTACTGAATAAAATGCAGCTAAAACAAAAGCACACGGCGGGTGTGACCAGTCGGCAGCGGATGCTCATTCCCCCATTGTAGTGTAGCGGCTTAGATCAAAATTTCAGCAAAATAGTTCACTTGTGGATACAAGCATGAAATTTGGTACAAATGTCTATCTGATACTACTAAATCTAAAAACATCGTTGGCCACCGCGATTTCCGCCATTTTCAAGATGGCCACCACTAAAACAAAATGGC